CCAAACAAAGAATATTCGGAATTAGAATCTGGAACCGTCCTTCGTTGTAAAATATTTCATTCTTTTTATTTGAGAAGACAGTCTCCCTGTTTTAGGATGGGTTGATCAAGGTTTACGAAGAAGCATTTTCACTACCTTTAAAGGGTTGTACATATCCCACCTAAACCAGCCCATAGTATTATTTCCGTACGAGTCTTACGTGGCTGTCAATTTGTTTCTTAGACAACCCAGACTCCACCAGGCTGTATTATAATCCTCTGCGCAATTTCCGGAATTATAAGCTCAGACCGGATTTCAATTAGTATTCTATATGACCTGTGATAAAACCTTACCGATGACTACTTGGCATTTATGAGTAAATGGACATTATTTTCCAACCAAATGATAACAAATCATTACGAGTCAAAACTAAAATTCTGAAAGTATTAGACAGGTAGGAAACCTACTGTATACTTGCAGGCCTGATTTTCATTATGTGTTCTCGAAACACTTTTTAAAATATCAATTTTGCTTAGCTATGATTATTTTTTTTTACTACTTTTTGTTAACTTTTTTATTCTTTCTTATTTTTTGAACCACTTTTCGATTTAATCATGTAATGAAGACAAAAATGTTTTTAAAAGTAAAATGTTGCAGATAAACACAATTTGAAAAATTACGTCCATCGGTCATTATTGATAAATGATTTAAAATAGTAAAAAAAAAGAAGAGAGTAAACAGTTTTAATAGAATATTTAAAGCCAACCGAACAAAGAATATTCGGAATAAGATCTTTAATATGGAACCGTCCTTGGTTGTAAATTATTTCATTTCTTCTGATTCGAGAAGACAGTCTACCTGTTTTAGGATGGGGTGTTCATTACGGAGAAGCATTTTCACCACGTTCAAAGGCTTGTACATATCAGAACCATACCAGCCCATAACATTACTTCCGGATGAGGCGTGCGTTGCTGTCAATTTGGTTCGTAGACAACTCAGATTCCACCAAGCTGTTTTATAGTCCACTGCGCAGATTCCGGAATTAATTTGTATAATGGTCGACATCCTTTGCAGAGAACGGGACATTATTGTGGAAAGCAGTACTATCACCTATTAAATTAAAATCTATGTATATTTAAGAAAAAAATATTATAAGGCGGACATTGATAAATCAATGGGGAAACTCAATATTACTAAACGTAATTCGTAGTTTAGAATGAAGAGGGAAATAATTTTTGATAAACTGGAATTGATGTCCATGTACAATGAAGATATATTTCTATATCAATTTAAACAATGTTGAAAATTAGCTATTTTTTATTCACTTTATTTATTTATTTAATTTTTTTTATCCATATAGTTTAATTATTTATCTGTTTACCTGCATCTCCAGTATAACTGCAAACCGTCATAAGATAATTAGTTGAAGTCGATCTAACATTAAAATTAATATACTCTGCCTACGCAGTGTTTGAAGAGATATCCTGGAATTCAATTCTAAGGACGGTGTATCCCCCCGGCTGTCAACAGATGGATGTATAGGTTTCCTACAATCAAAGAAGACTCAGTATAATGTTTTATAGACTGATTTTTCTTTGTGACCCAGCATCAGGACTCGGCCATAGTCACTGGCTGGGTATATTTGCTACCCCTACCCCTGCCCCCTCGCAATGAAAAGCAGGCGAATCAAGTGCCCGTGGAAGCGACTGGAAAAAAGAAAACGGGGACAGGCGTTCAAATAAATTAGCAAGATGTGTTTTATAAACACAAAAGTCCCGAAAGTGGTCATTTCTAATGGAAGACAATTAGTAGAAGGGGTTTTCACAAACGATAAAAAAAAAGTTCTATCAAAGTTGATTGGCCTACTGTAGGCCTATATGTGGGTTGGACAGTCACCCTTATACCTAACATAAACCTATCGCCTTACAAGCTTTATATTAAATATATGCTAACGTCAATCACTCACGTACAACATTGCATTTAGAAAAAAATAAAATATCCTGTTTTGAGTTTCATTTGCAAATGAAGTTGGTCACGTGATCAAATCCTATAACGTCCGAAGGCGTGCAAATATCACACATTGAACCAAAGACATAAATGTTTTATTTATTGTGTCTCTGATTAAATAATAACAAAGACGTTCCATAGTAGCGAAATAAATAATGATTTAAAACAAAATAACGAAAATTATCTACCCTATACATTAACAACACGTGAAGTCTCCAGATTGACAACCTAACTAATGCTACCCGAACAATTTTTAGCAAACTATGTATCAAGATTTTATTGAGACCTTTTACTAAGTTAACAAGGCGCTACAAACCTTGCGAGAAATGACGAGGAAGTGTAATAAAGTAACTTTTGACGTTACAGTGTACTTGAGAGTTCTCCGTGGTGACAAAACACGTTGAATTTAAAATTAAGTAGCATGAGTTCAACCGAACGAAACTTCACACAACGACAAAAAAATGTTTTTGTACTTAAAAAATATGTTAATTATAAATTTTGTAAAAATAATATCATGAAAGGCGTTTTTGTCTACGTATTTTGTGAAAGACCCTCGTGATTGGGTAAATATCACATAGATGTCTCGTAAATCATTTGTCGCAGTGCAATGGATCTACCCTCTTTACAGGTATTGTTATCCATCGGTGTATAATGTTGAACATATTTCACTCCACAAGTCCTTAAGTTCTGTGATTCAGAAGTTATTATATATTTAGGAAGGTAAAGGTTATGACATAAACACATAATGAAAGATATAAAGACAGGATAATAACAACACCTCCCTCCCCCAATCTTCGATCTCGGTACGAAAAATTATTATTTTTTTCCTTAAGGACGTATGGTAGTGACGATTTTGAATCCACCGCGCAACTCCGAATGACGTAAATGAATCGTATGTCGTTCATCTCTTTAGTAGAGTTGGAAATAAAATTTACAATGCAACTTATTTTAAAGATATACTTGATATAAAATCATATAAAATGTGACTAAAATTTCATTGGATTCAAACTAACAACAAGTCGAGGTAGTTTTACGACTTATCTTACTTTTCGGTAATGTAAACAAAGCGGATGTTTCGAAAAGAATGAAATGCGGAGAAAACGAGGATTTTCGTCAACCAAATCTATTCAGCGGCACAGCAAGGCTTCGTTGACTCAAGAAAGGCGATGGTGAGCTGCGTCTGACTGAAAATTACTGTGCAAAGATTAAACCCATCATTCGAATCACAAACGCATGACAACTCTAGCCTAGCAAAAACGATCTGCCCAGGTTTGTCTCTAGTATTTGACACCATTTAACTAACATTACCTCAGAAATTCAGTAAAAGTGATTGTGGCTCAGCTAAATACCGGTATTAGATAAGATATATATATATTTATATATATATATATGAGTGAACTGGGTACTTTTTTCTGAATTGGGGGCATGAGTGAACTCACAACATTATACACTGCATGATAGATCATTTTTAGCAAAAATTAGGTTAAGTGCACATAATTTAGAAATTGAAAAAGGTAGATATGTTGAAATTAATAAAAATGATAGGTTGTGTAAAGTTTGTCAAAACCTTGATATTGAGGATGAAAAACATTTCATTTTGCTCTGTCCGAAATATGAAGCACAGAGAAAAATATTCAAAACAAAATTATCTACTTTCCCTAATTTCAACCAAACAATCCATAATAATGACAATTTGTTAAAATCATTGATGAAAACCAGGTGTAAAAGGGTTCTTAAAATAATATCTTCATTTTTATGTCAAATATCTGATATTAGAAAAAAATGTTCTAGCTATAAATGAGTAACTACATTGTTATGAATCACCTCCCTTACCAAAAAATAAGGCTTCTGGCGAAGTACTGCGGCAAATCTGCCGCAAACTTAGCGGCAAGGTTACTGCAGATTGTTTGCAGCAACCTTACGGCGACTTTTTACCATGCAAATGAAGTTTGCAGTAGACTTGCCGCAAACTTGAGATAGCCAAATATGGTTTATGGTGAACCTGTGGTGAAGTTTTGCGGCTAACCTTTGGCAAACTTCTGATAGCCATGTACAGTTTGCAGCGAACCTCCGGCAAACCTTATCAGATAGCCTTATATAGTTTGCGGTTAACCTCTGGCAACTTTCAAATATTTAATACTCTCCCAAACTCCCAATGGCTATAAATAAATTTAATGCATTTAATTATGAACACATTAATCATGGACTTGCATCTAACATGGATTGTCCAATTAAATGAGGGATCACTTGCACTCACATGATCTTTATAAAAATAGAAAATCAAATGACAATTTAAATTTTTAAAGCAATGGTTATTCCTTAAGGATTACTTTTGTAGTCACTGGGGCCTCTTCTTCAAGGTATATGACATTTTGTAACCAAATGTGAACATTAATCAACTGCAATTTGACTCAAGTTATCAATGGTCTAGTAAAATTGTACACCACAACACTTTCTACATGCAAGTGTCAGAATTTACAATCAGCTAGTGACTAAGAGGATAATACATGTACTAGTTACTGCATTTCTTTTGTGAAGTGTTTTGCCTTGCAGGTTTCAAAAAAAACTACACAGTGCGAGTATGAACTATGACTAATGTAACAGTATCAATAACAAATAAATCAATTAATACTTGCTTTAATATGCATAAAAAATACCAGGTACATCAATTTAAAAGAATTTGCCACAGATAAATGTTTCCACAAAATAAGCTTTCTAAAAATTATATAAAAACAAGTATACACGAGTTACAATCAGATATTATGCACTGAATCAGTTCAGGATTGTTGGTATTCAAGTCCACTTACAATGAAAAGCCCATTTGATATATACATAAATATATGATATGAAAACATGCATTTTACTTACAATTGGATGAAAAAGCATGAATTTCATTTGAAATCACAGCACTTAATCCAATGTTAGCAAATTAAGATCCAATGGTTTTCAATGCCATTAAGAGAAAAACTACACAATGTTGATTTTTCAACTAAATGAATAAATGCACAGGACATCTACTTAGATAGTCTGTTTTCTTTCACAGCACGGCACATGGTTCCAATCTTTGTGTTTATGGCTTTCACAATGTCTGTGTTGTCCATTCCCAATGCTGTGATTGCAAATGCTGTAAGGAAAGAAATAAAAAAAATAAATTAAATTTATATAAATAAAATTCATATTAAAAAGATATAATGAATAAAATTAGTGGAAATAGTTTAAAAACATATTTTATTCTGATCTCACCTTTCAAAGCCTGTCCAAGAGGTGTCTGCAACAAAATCATTGCAGTTTTTTTCTGCAACTCTTTCGGTTCATAAAAGCCATTCATTACTAATTTCAAACAGTGAGGTTTTGTCTTCCCCCTAAAAAGACTCTTGATGTTGGCCATCCACTTTGCATCAATGTAGATGTCGTGGCCCTCCACAAATTTGACATAGCCCCGTGGGACTGTGAAGTTTTCTGGGTTCTCAGCAACAATCTAAATTATTGATAAAAATGATTAATCAGACTTAGATATTACTTATCTACAATTTTTTTTTTAAAAAATTTAAGGGAAATTAAGAAAATTTGGATGCATTGTTGATGATTTAAGTTGAAAGTGGTAACTCATATTACTTACATAACAACATTTATCTACACAGATCCCCCTCTTGGGAAGGTAGTGGTTATCCTGACTGGTGGACGATGTTGCTTTGTCAGAATTGTTTTCCTTTAATGTGTCTGATAAAAAAAAAATCCAGTATATTATTAGAGAGAGAGAGGTGGGGATGTACAGTATATATAGTTAATAAAATCAATATATCTTTTTTTGCATGTACTTTCAAAATTTAAAAACCAATTATGAATAAATCCAATCTGATATTTATGACATAACCATTTACCAAAATGTTACCGCAATATATATTTTTTTTCAATGTAAATTAAAACATACAGACAGATACTCAAAATGTATTCACATAGAAAGCAGATATTTTTTAAAACAGTAACCTAATTCTGCCCTCAATTTAAGAGCTTCTGATTTCCAGTAAGAAATATCCCTTTCTTGTTGTCTTTGAAACTCTCTACAACTATTCAACTCAGTCTCTTTCAGTACACAATCCCCACAACCATTGTCTGAGAGGGCAGATAGAAATGAGCTTGACTGTGAGGATGTACTTGGAAAGGTTGACACGTCACCAGCATTTAGGTTAATGTTAGCGCTACTGTCACAATCATCATTGTCTACTGTGCATGGAGTGTCAGTTGTTAAATTCAAAAGATGTGTAGAACTATCTGAATGAGAAGGGGGACATTCGGATGAAGTGGATGAATTAAGTTTTGGGGGAGATGGCACATTCATCATGCTACTGTTAGGTAAGACTGAGAGAGAATTTTGGTTGGCTTGATAGAAAGGATAAAAGAATGATGAAAGAGGATGGAAGTGGGGAGGAAACCCTAACCCTCTGTTAAAATGAGGAAGAGAATCAACAGAGCATGCTGGAGAAGACTGAGTTTGAGAAGAGGACTTAACTGGTGAAGGATTAGAATCAACAGAGCATGTCTGAGAAGACTGGGTTTGAGGAGAAGAGGACTTAACAGGAGAAATGGGCTCATATTCTGGAGGGTTTTGGTGGCTACTGGACAAGGTGGTAGAGCAGGCAGTTGCAGAGGAGGATGTTACAGAACTTGACACATCTATGTTATGAGAACTTACATGTATATCATGCGATGCTGTTAACAAACTAGACTTAAACAGCTCCTCCGCCGTCACCATCTCCGTCTGCTTTCGTGCAGACTCTATCTTTTTCTTTTCCTCATTTTTTTCTGAAATTTAAAAATTTTCTGTTAGATAGATGAAATATGTGGAGATAACGAACAAGTCCATTAAACATTACAAAATAGGAGCAGAGCAAACAGGGACATCTAAACATCAGGGGTGGGATCAGGTGCCATGCAGGAGTGAGCATCCCATGCCAACTGGTCACACCCACTGTGTGCTCCTTGTCATGATCGAGAAATAGCGGAAAAATCTGTCGACAATTCAGTGTGTAAATAATGGTCTAACAATTAGTATGAAAAACGTCAGTCAGAATTTGACTCAATGGTAGATTGTATTTGCTGTATATACCCATATATAATGAAATTCTGATTTATAGATTTTTGAAAAATTTGGACTTCACAGTAATATACGAAAAAAAAACCCACCTTTCTTTTTTTTCTTGAGGGCTGCTTCCTCTGCACTGACTTCAGAATCAACTGTCTTATCTACTTTCCTCTTCTTCTTTGTCTTTGTCTTTTTCTTTGACTCCTTGTACCTAAGACAATCCTCTTTTGATTCTACAAAATGAGTGAGAAATATAATAAAAAATAACTATTTGTATATTTTATTTAATGATAAAAAATTACGTATATTGACATTTAATCAATAACCCCTTTATTTAATGAAGATAAAGCATATATTACTAGTATACAGCAT